GCAGGACGCGAGCGCGGCGTCGGGCGCACTGGCCGCGACGCCGTCGAGGGACGGGTCGTCCGCCGCGCCGCGCGTCGCGACGACGACGCGCGGCGCGTCGCCGCGGTCGTCGAGCGCTTTGAGGAGCGCGAGGAACGTCTTGAGCGCCTCGCGCGTCGCGCCGGCGACGTCGTCGCCGAGCGCGGCGCCGGCGCCGAGGGCCGCGAGGCACACGACGCCCGCGACGTCCTCGCCGCTCTCCTCGAGCGCGCACGCGACGCGGTCGGCGACGACGTCGAGCGGCTCGCCCGGCGCCGCGGGAGGCAGGATCGCCGGCGTCGCGCGGGTCATCTTCGCCGCGAGCGCCGGGGCGACGCCCGTGCCGTCGTCGAGGAGGACCCAGAAGCCCTCGACGGCCGCCGCGGCCTCCGCGGCGAGGGGCGCGTCGACCCACGTCACGCCGTAGACGTCGTCCGCGACGCCCGACGGGGGCTGGGCGGCCTGCTTGCGGCTCGCGCGCGCGGCCTTGCGCTCCGCGGCGAGCGTCGCGTCGCGCTTCTTGAGCGCGGCCTTGGCGACCTTGCCCGAGCCCGTCATGGGCAGCTCCGCCCGGGTCACGAACTCGACGGACGACGGCACCTTGAAATCCGCGAGCCTCGCCGCGGCGTGGCGCCGGAGCGCCGCCGCCGTGAGCGACTCGTCCTGCTTGACGACGACGGCCTTGACGCGCTCGCCCATGGCGTCGTCGGGCATGCCGTAGACCGTCGCGAGCTTGACCCCCGGGTGGTCGTTGAGCACGCGCTCGACCTCGACGCAGTAGACGTTCTCCGAGCCCACGAGGATCATGTCCTTGGCGCGGTCCGTGATCGTCAGGTAGCCGTGGCCGTCGACCTTGGCGAGGTCGCCCGTGCGGAACCAGCCGTCGGGCGTGATGGCCTCGGCCGTCGCGGCGGCGTTCCCGTCGTAGCCCGAGAAGAGCGTCGGCCCGCGGATCCAGACCTCGCCGACGCCGCCGGAGCCCGGCGCGACGTCGACGGCGTCCGCGTCGGCCTCGAGGGGCTGCTCCACGGTCGGCACGTTGGACCCGTCGCGCGCGCCGACGACGCGGACCTCGAGGAGGCCGAAGGGGCGGCCGGACGACGTGATGAGGTCGAGCGTCTTCGCCGGCCCGACGCGCGCGCGCGTCG